TGACAGAACAAGGAGCAATGGGCTCAAGTTGCAGCAGGGGAAGGGGGGAGAGAGGGGGAGAGAGAGAGAGAGAGAGAGAGAATTTCAACCAAAATAAACTTGGTACAACCACTTCATTAAAATAAGAGTTCATGTTATGAGATTTGAGTTGCAGAAGGGACCGTGATGTCCTCCCACTATCTCATGTTAGACAGCCTACTGAAGGAAAAGGGACTTAAAACTCTCTTATATGTAAGCACTGTGGATATGTGGCATAAAATGAAAGGAAGTGTCATATAATTTTAAATCTGTGTATTGATTTAAATGATCAATCTTCTTTACAGTTCTTCAGGGTTCTCATCCTTGGCTTGGCTGCCTGGTTCCATGTTGTGTAGTAAAGAAAGAATTGAACATAAAACTGATTATAATCATTAAAAAAATGGATAACGGAATACTACAAAGGGATAATAGGCATCCATTTTTAATCAGCTCAATAGTGACATATGAATTCCAAAAATGGACAAAGGTGATGAAAAAGTTTTTAAAATGTCACATCATTTTTTCACCTTTTGCAAGGCTTTTCATGTCCTCAAAACTTTGGGGATAAATTCTATGACATAATCATGGCCCCCAAATTCCCAGGTTTTGTCCATGTGCCAGTGAGCTTGCAAAATAGCCTTCTCATTTGAATTTTCATAATTTGAGGCATATAAGATTTATGTAGTCCGACAGCCGCTCTGGCAAATTTAGTGAGAGAGAGAACAGTGGGGATTTGGAGGTGGGGAGGCCGGGGGAGAAATGACACAGCTTGTAGATAGTCATGAACACTATTTAGCATATTCTGTACATGCATAAACAGATATATATCATGTCAAGTGGGGATGAAATGGTGACAGACTTTAGCAAACTGGTTTTGCCCCCACTAAACTCAATGAGACATGGGGATTCACAGATGCTAGGGTCGGATGGGACCTCAACAGATCATCGAGTCTGACCTCCTGCCTAGCACTACCCACATTCTTCCAGGTCAATACCAACCCATATTGTAGACAGGATCTGTATTATAGACTGCACCAGCTTGACTGATCGAGGATCCAGATGACTTGAAACCACACTTTTGGGCAGCCATAGCTAGGGAAGCAAGTTTGAGGCTAATGGTATAATGATTCCTGTTATTTAAGAATGGGACTGCAGTAGACAATCAGCCCACTGGATCCTTCCAGTGTCTCTTACCACCATGTATAAAGCATCACTAACTTCATACAGCATGACTACAAGGATAATATAAAGCAAACCATGTGGAAAAGTAACACACACTACTAATAAGCACAGCTACAGCCATGATATAAACAAGTGCCTATTTGGTCAGCCTTCATGAAAAGTACACAAAACTCTACCAGACCTGGAGCAGTGACCAGGATACTATAAACCTGACTCTTCTGGAGTGGGGAGAGGATGGAAGTGCAGACCTCCAAAGGTGCATTTAGAACTCACTGCCTGTCTAAATGACCTACACCACATGGAGAACTCTACCAAGGAAACCAATATCATGAATCAAGCCTGTCTCACACTGCAGAGAGACAACAAACGAAAAGTCTTAAATTTTTGCTGCACAATTATTTTCACTCATGTTATTTCAATATATAAATCACACAAGTTTTATACAAATGTTTGGTTGGAACAACTAGAACAGCTGAAGTTCCTTGCATGTTATGAACCCCTAGTTAATTCAATTCTGAGCATTTTTCTCTAGGAAAAGCATCATCACATATCTTTCAACCAACTCCAGTTGTACCCATCTAATCGCTCTTTGATGGTCTATGAAAAATAAGTTAGCCCCATTTCCAGCTAGACAATTATCCCCGTTGCAAAGCCACTGCTCCTAATAGCACTAATTAGCACCCTTGTTAGGAGTGTCACTAGAGAGGCCAAATAATTATCTGGGCCATGAAGACTGACCTGACCTCTCAACCCCCAGGGATATTCCCCTCAGGACTGATTTGAAGCACACTAGTAAGTGAAAGGGGACAATTCTTGTACTGTATCTGTTTTACAGATAGGCAGAGGAACTTAAGCAGACAGAGCAGTCAAACCAAAGCAAACCTAAAACAAACTATTTGGATCAAAGACAAGAAGGAAAACCAAATAAAAAACATGAAGTACAGCCACAAGGACTGACTTGAAGCACACTAGTAGGTGAAAGGGGACACTTCTTGTACTGTATCTGTTTTGCAGATAGGCAGAGGAACTTGAGCAGACAGAGCAGTCAAACCAAAGAAAATGTAAAATAAACTATTTGGATCAAAGACAAGAAGGAAAACCAAATAAAAAACATGAAGTACAGCCACAAGGACTGACTTGAAGCACACTAGTAGGTGAAAGGGGACACTTCTTGTACTGTATCTGTTTTGCAGATAGGCAGAGGAACTTGAGCAGACAGAGCAGTCAAACCAAAGAAAATGTAAAATAAACTATTTGGATCAAAGACAAGAAGGAAAACCAAATAAAAAACATGAAGCACAGCCACAAGGAGATGCTTGGTCTCCCAAGGCCTGAGCTGAATTAATTAAGAATCTGAAAGGTCACGACCATCTTCCAGCACAGCTTCTGTCATTCAGAGATATACAATAAACTCAGCCACTTTTGCTGGAGTGAAGGAATGTAAATCAGTCCCCATAACAGCCTCAGTTTGTGTCTCTGGCTGGATTTTTAGCACAGTAGCATCCTAACCGAGTGTCCTAGGGCAATTCTTCCTTTCCAAACAATCTTTCCTCCTTTTCCAAACAGTTTCAAATCTTCATGCATTGGAAGGGGGCCTCCATCCCCTTCATACTTACCAGACCAAGGACCACTTCCATTAGCCCTATGAAATAAAGACAGCCCACGAGCACTGTTAACTCTTAGAATGTCAGCATTTGTGGTATGCCTATATGAAAAACACAGGACCACACCGCGGTACCAGGTAGCTGCATTACCCTGGCACTCTGCCTGAGCTATTATCTCTGTTGAGAAGCTGAGTATATTAGCATTGGTGGACAGCTACACTAACATGCCTGTGCTTCTGGTACCCAAACTAGCTTGTTCACAGACAGCTTGGATACGCCTGGAAAGTGCTGCCTTGTGGCAGATATACCCTCACACACTGCTAGGTACATGAACTCCTAATAGGGCATGTTTTCCATACAGCGTATAGCTGCAGGTTTAAAGGTCTGATCTTCAATCTATTCCAGCTTCCATTCTGACTGTGGAAGGAGTATAAGCAAGTGTAAGGGGAAGTCCCTCTCTTATATTCAGTGATAGAATGACACTTCGGGTGAGAGAAATCTACACAGCAATGGGCCCTTCGCCTCCATGTCCACGTGAGGCTTATTCAGAAATCTTTTTCAGTTCATGGGATTTGAGCAGTTTGCATTCAAAGGACTGGGGTGTCTATGTCCCTTGTGGAATTCTCAGGGCTCCCCCTCATCATCCAGCCATTTATTCTCCCCCTGCCCTGAAATATCCCCCGCTATAGCCACTGGAGCAGATTCTCAGCCTTGGTATGATATTTTGCCAAAGCTGCTACAAGTCACTAGTTGGGAATTGATTGTCCTAGTGTATGTAGACACCTGCAACCATGGCTAGCTCTTATATCTCTTTTCCCATGACTTCTGGTACAAAGGATGTGGTTGTTCTGTGGAGAGGGAATGGCCATAGCATGGTGTCATCTGGATATTCTCAAATGCTGTATAGTATTTTGCAGCAAGTCAGAGTAGCTTCAAGTCTCTCTGACCTGTAATGGGGCTGGGATTTGGAATCGGGAAGCCATAACTAATTCTTCCACAACAGCCCCATGTTGGTCCATTCTTTCCAATCAGTACTGGTATTAATTCAGTGAAGGCATCATTGCTGGGGGACCTGAAGTATTCCCTCCAGCTCATCTTGAGTGTTGAACTGAGCATAGTGCTCAGTTCCCAATATACCAGGTCCTGCCAGCCTGGTGAATGGGTGCATGATGCCAGGGCCTGATGCAGGCCATACCGCACTCCCTTAGAACAGACCTTCCCTATATACAAAGTGTTAGAGTGATGTAGGTGTGATGGTCCACGAATTATGTGAGAGGCAACGATTTCTTAGGGTGATTATGCAAGAGGCAAGGTCACCTGAAGAAGAATGCCTTGCCTTCGAAAGCTTGTGTCACTCTATCCCAACTAAGCAGTTGATCCAATAAAAGATATTGCCCACCAAAATCCTTGCCTGTTTACAAACAAATTTTAAATGGGAGAAAGCATTAATGATTTACAGTGTGAAACAGAACTGGGAAGGCCAAGGCAATCCAGAGTGGGCTTTCACAGAACAGAGTGCAGGCTGAATAAGAAGGACATGATGCAAGCCTGCCCACAGCAGGGCAAAGTAACAAAGGAAGAGCAGGCAGGGTCATTTTAACCATTCTAAAGGGCAGCAGCTACTTTGGGAACAATATATTAAGCATGTTACAACGTGAGACTAGTGGCCTAGATTTTCAAATGTGTTTAAACACCTAGGGCATGTCCACACATTCAGACATGTGCGCTTGCAGCAGGTCAAATAGGAGTGGCACAGATTTGTGCCGGGGATTTGTGCCTCAGCACACATGCCTAAATTATGTATGTACTTTGGTGTGGGACAAGTTGTGCCAATTGGGGCAAACTGACACTGCCCAGCTCTTCCCGGATCTTCAGCCACAGGAGGAGCTGAAGGTTGGGGCCAGCACTTGTGCTGGCCCCAGCAGTATAAAAAGGTGCCCTGGCAAGCAGCTCAGGGCTAATTGCTCTCAGGAGCTTCTAAGACCCAGTCAGGTGACACATGGGGACACTA